GTGTGTGTGTGTGTGTGTGTGTGTGTGTGTGTGTGTGTGTGTGTGTGTGTGTGTGTGTTTGTACATATATGTGTGTTTGTTAGGATGTGTTAGGACATGCTGGGATTGTCACAAAAACAAATGATTAAATTTTGGTGTTGATCTTTCCACATGTGCTGCAGCTCTCCTCTGTGATCTGACACAAACAGGAAGTGAAACTTAAAGAGTAATTAACCAGATAAACTGTTTATATTTGGTCTGAAGGGTAATGTTTTTATATTTCTGTGCTAATTTTGACATTGTTGTGTAATTTGTTTAATTCTGTAATATTTTGTCTAAAACCATGGTAGTGCTGCCCTCTATGGGTGGAACAGTGGTTACTACAGTTTAATTTTCTCATTGGTTAAAATGATACATGCTTACATCACAGCTCCTGTGTTTGGGTTACTTTACATTTTTACATCACCTACAGATAAAACCAAAGCATTTGTGTTGTTTCGGCGGCGACTGTTATGCAGTGTAACTTTGTAGAGTTTATAGGTTGTGGAAAACGTTTTTGACCATGCTGAGACACCAAGTGTTGCTGCTGATGAAGAATGGACTTGTTCTTGTTTAACAGAAAACTAAATGTTTCACTGTACGCTCCTTGTTCCTCAGGCAACCAGACAAACTGAGGGTGATGTGGATCAGAAGAAACAGACGCCACACCACCAAGGTAAAACAGTTCAGATTACCACAACATTTGCAAGTACTTTAACTTAGGTTTTAGAGATAAAAGGTAAGAAGTAGGAGGAAAGGAGAATTAATTAGTTATTTCTAACTTTATCTTAAAGAATGTGGGTTTAACCAGGAAGAGCGAAGTGTCGTCCACTGGGTTTCAGCCAGAGCCAGGAACACTTAGAAACAAGCCAGCTTTTACCTTGAGGATGAGGTCAGTCACAGTCCAGGTATTTAGGGAGGGACTCTCAGTCGGTAAGAAATCCGTTCAATTGGCTTCTCATCTGTGGACCTCCAGGCATGTCAACTGCTCAGCGCCAGTCTGGAGCTCCGAGTCAACTGTACAGGAGAGGCAGGGCCCAACTGGATCCCGTTTCCAAAATAAAAGTACTTCCCTGAGGAAGTCAAACAAGTTACTTGTGGAGCTTAGAAGCTGGCGTTTTTATGGGACACGCCGTGTGTTGGCTGCAGAGGTTCTCCTTCCTCATGTGACTTTGGTATACAATGTCTCTGATTATCAAATGCATAAGAACTCTTAGTTAAAAGAAAAATAAAAAAAATAATGGAGATTATCCTGTTCATTATCTGATAAAGAAAAAGAGAATGTCTCTTTAAGGTTAAGATGACCTGTTATGGCCTAACTTCAGTTTAACTGGAACAGAGTTCTGTTTGTCTTAAAGGGGCGTCTGAGGCCTGAGGTCAGAGACAGTTTTATTGTTTATTCCACTGGAGGTGACCACTACATTGTTTACTAAATTACTGAATTGAATTGAATTGAATTGAATAAGACCTCCTGGAGAGGAGGGTCCGTCGGATAGTCGAACCTCGGATTCAGGAAGAGCAGTGTGGTTTTCGTCCTGGTCGTGGAACACTGGACCAGCTCTACACCCTCAGCAGGGTCCTGGAGGGTGCATGGGAGTTCGCCCAACCTGTCTACATGTGTTTTGTGGATTTGGAGAAGGCGTTCGACCGTGTCCCAAGGGGGGCCTTGTGGGGGGTTCTCCGGGAGTATGGGGTACCGGGCCACTTGATACGGGCTGTCAGGTCCTTGTACGACCGGTGTCAGAGTCTGGTTCGCATTGCCGGCATTAAGTCGGGCTCGTTTCCGGTGAGAGTTGGACTCCGCCAAGGCTGCCCTTTGTCACCGATTCTGTTCATTACTTTCATGGACAGAATTTCTAGGCGCAGCCGAGGTGTTGAGGGAATCCGTTTTGGTGGCCTTAGGATCGCATCTCTGCTTTTTGCGGATGATGTGGTCCTGTTGGCTTCATCGGAACGAGATCTGCAGCTCTCGCTGGAGCGGTTCGCGGCCGAGTGCGAAGCGGCCGGGATGAAGCTCAGTGCCTCCAAATCCGAGGCCATGGTCTTGAGCCGGAAAAGGGCAGAGTGCCTTCTCCGGGTCAGGGGGGTCGCCCTGTCTCAAGTGGAGGAGTTTAAGTATCTGGGGATCTTGTTCACGAATGGGGGAAGAACGGAGCGGGAGATCGACAGGCGGATTGGCGCAGCGTCTGCTGTAAAGCGGGCGCTGTACCGGTCCGTCGTGGTGAAGAGAGAGCTGAGTCAGAAAGCGAAGCTCTCGATTTACCGGTCGATCTACGTTCCTACCCTCATCTATGGTCATGAGCTTTGGGTCATGACCGAAAGAACGAGGTCCCGGATACAAGCGGCCTAAATGGGTTTCCTCCGCAGGGTGGCTGGGCTCTCCCTTAGAGATAGGGTGAGAAGCTCAGTCATCCGGGAGGGACTCAGAGTAGAGCCGCTGCTCCTCCACGTCGAGAGGAGCCAGTTGAGGTGGCTYGGGCATCTGGTAAGGATGCCTCCTGGACGCCTCCCTGGTGAGCTATTCCGGGCACGTCCCACCGGGAGGAGGCCCCGAGGAAGACCCAGGACACGCTGGAGGGACTATGTCTCTCGGCTGGCCTGGGAACGCCTTGGAGTTCCCCCGGAGGAGCTGGAAGAAGTGGCTGGGGAGAGGGAGGTCTGGGCCTCCCTTCTGAAGCTGCTGCCCCCGCGACCCGACCCCGGATAGGCGGAAGAAAATGGATGGATGGATGGATGAATTGAATAAACCTTTATTGTCATTGTACAGAGCACAATGAAATTACATTTCAGTTATGTGTCTATATAATTTAAATAAGTGGAACTGATTGGAGTTCATGAAGCAAAGCTGAACATAGTTTAGTTTGTAACACCAAGTTCAACCTAATGTAGCATCAAAACAACGAAACAGGTACTGCTCTGACTTAAAACCCTTTTAGATCAAATGCTGGCATTATTCTGTTAAACCACATATATTTTTAGTTTTGTGTAAAAATGTACTCTGCATGGGGAAATACTGTWCACAACCAGGAACGTTAACATTGAAACTTTTACTTTCTGTTCTTTTTCATTTGCAGCTTCACAGTTGGCAGCCAGGCATTAAGAACCCCTACAGAGGCCTGGTTGTTTGGCAGGTTCCAGAGAGTTTAAACATTACTGTCACGCTCTTCAAGGTACGACAGTAAATCTATACTGAATTATTTTATTTTCATCTGAGCAGTGGGCCGGGGTAGCTCGTTGGTCTGTGCCACGGTCCTGTAACCCTGAGCCTGCAGGTTTGAGCCCAGGTTGTGTCAGGAAGGGTGTGTGGGGTAAAACAAACCTTGTGTTGGTGCTCCCTCTCTGTGGTGACGGCTGCAGGATGGAGCAGCTGAAGTGAGTAATAAATCTATCTGCTCCACCAGGACCCCACTGCAGACCAGTTTGAAGACAAGGACTGGACTTTTGTCATAGAAAATGTAAGTTTAATCTAACATCTTTATTCGTTTTGTTTTATGTACCTTTTACATGGAAACTCTAAATACACATGAGTCAAAACATTATGACTATTATTTGGTACGTGTGTTAACAATGGTGGGACCGTACAGTTATCTCCAAAATATTTATTTTATTTAGGATCATTTGTTGAGTTCTGTAAGAAAATGCTGTGACCACACTGTTTCCTTGTTCTGCTATATTCCTGTTAGTCTAAAAGTCTTTGAGGTAAACAAAGTGGGTTTTAAATTATTTAAATAGGTAGGATAGTAGTCAGGATATTATTACAGAATATATTTTTTGTTTATCAGTGGTCATTTTCTTGTCTTTTTTTAATGTAATTATTTGAACCAGAAAACCAGTTTATGAGCAGCTCAGAGTTTCTTTTTTTATTTATTTATTTTTTGTCTATTTATATTTGAACATGAGTTCTGTTTTCAGGTTGTGGAAAGTACTATATTTTGTCAGAAGGCCGTAGCCTGGATTTACATTTTAAACCTTTTGATCTCAAGTGAAGGATCACAGAAATTCTTATGACAACAGTTATGGCTAAAACTTAAACACAGAGGGTAGTGTGTTTTTGTTTTGTTGCCTTAATCCAACATTTAAATGGATTTTCTGTTTGATTATAAGCAACAGATCTAAACTACTGGAGTCTATTGATGAGGTAAAACTTGTTCTAAATAATGGACAAGTCTTTCCTTGTTGACAGCTCTTAATTCATTTGTAAATAAAATGTTTCTGCACTGCTAAATRGACTGTACTTATCTGTCCAACCAGGATACTCAAAGCTCTTCACACAACAATCTGTGCCCTCATTTACCCATTCACACAGCACTCTACAGTCACAGCACTCTAGAGTCACAGCACTCTACAGTCACACAGCACTCTACAGTCACACAGCACTCTACAGTCACACAGCACTCTACAGTCACACAACACTCTACAATCAATCTACAGTCACACAACACACTACAGTCACTCTACAGTCAGACAGCACTCTACAGTCAGACAGCACTCTACAGTCACACAGCACTCTACAGTCACACAACACTACAGTCACACAACACTCTACAATCAATCTACAGTCACACAGCACTCTACAGTCACTCTACAGTCACACAGCACTCTACAGTCACACAGCACTCTACAGTCACACAGCACTCTACAGTCACACAGCACTCTACAGTCACACAACACTCTACAGTCACACAACACACTACAGTCACTCTACAGTCACAAAGCACTCTACAGTCACAAAGCACTCTACAGTCACACAGCACTCTACTGTCACACATCACTCTACTGTCACACAGCACTCTACTGTCACACAGCACTCTACTGTCACACAGCACTCTACTGTCACACAGCACTCTAAAGTCACACAACACTCTACAGTCACACAACACTCTACAGTCACAGAACACACTACAGTCACTCTACAGCCACACAGCACTCTACAGTCACACAGCACTCTAGTCACACAACACTCTACAGTCACACAACTCACTACAGTCACTCTACAGTCACACAGCACTCTACAGTCACACAACACACTACAGTCACTCTAGAGTCACAAAGCACTCTACAGTCACACAGCACTCTACAGTCACTCTACAGTCACACAGCACTCTAGTCACACAACACTCTACAGTCACACAGCACTCTACAGTCATTCTACAGTCACACAGCACACTAAAGTCACACAGCACTCTACAGTCACACAACACTACAGTCACTCTACAGTCACACAACACTCTACAGTCACACAACACTCTACAGTCACACAGCACTCTACAGTCACTCTACAGTCACACAGCACTCTAGTCACACAACACTCTACAGTCACACAGCACTCTACAGTCATTCTACAGTCACACAGCACACTAAAGTCACACAGCACTCTACAGTCACACAACACTACAGTCACTCTACAGTCACACAACACTCTACAGTCACACAACACTCTACAGTCACACAGCACTCTACAGTCACTCTACAGTCACACAGCACTCTACAGTCACTCTACAGTTACACAGCACTCTACAGTCACTCTACAGTTACACAGCACTCTACAGTCACACAACACACTACAGTCACACAACACACTACAGTCCCACAACACACTACAGTCACACAACACACTACAGTCACACAACACTACAGTCACACAACACTCTACGGACTCTACAGTCACTCTACAGTCACACAGCACACTACAGTCACACAACAAACTACAGTCACACAGCACTCTACAGTCACACAACACTACAGTCACTCTACAGTCACACAACACTCTACAGTCACACAACACACTACAGTCACACAGCACTCTACAGTCACACAACACTCTACAGTCAC